ATGAGTCCGACTGTTTCTAAGTCACCTGGGATGCTGTTTACTGCCTATAATTCACAATCCAGATCATTACTGGCAATTCATCTATTGCAAAGCTGACTGGAGGATTTAATCTATAAACTTCGCATTTCCAGGAAAACCACGTGCAAGAACACTTGTGCTTACATATTCCTGTCAGGGAGGCTGCAGGATGAAGTCTGAGCACAAGAACCTGCAATTAAGTAAAAGAACGGCATTGTACAGAACAAGTTTTTTTGCCCTAATCTGATAACTACCAACATAAGTTAGTTCATGGAGGTAAAAGAAATATTGTATACCATTAACATTCACTTTTCATATTTTGAGAAATGGAGAAAAGAAAATATATCGAAACCAAAATGACACAGAACAATTTTAGTATCAAATTAGACTACATTTAAGGCAAAACTATTATCATCTTCGATACACAAAGATAGCATACTCTTTGCACTCAGTAAATCAGAGAAAGAAACATGCATGTTTTTCTACTTCTCAGATAAATAAAACCTATAATTACCTATGCAAAATTCTGAATATAACTTATTCTCAATTCTTTCAAAATATTGCTTGCCCTTCCAAGATACTTTTCCACTCCATCAACAGCATTTTTTTCTTGAGATTTGTTCTTTTTTTTCTTTTTTCTACTGAGGATGTTTGCAGATATTACATGATTTTTCTTCACATTCATTCATTTAGCCACTACAGCACTGCATATCTGCTATGCATAATACCAGGCCAGATAGAGTTATAAAAACAAAAATACTTTAGGTGATCAACACCCCAGGAAGGCAGAAAACTATTTGAGTAGACAGGACCTACACATGTGAACAGTCAATTCAAGATAAATAACAGGATGCTGAAGTTTTTACTCTTGTTACAGAGTTTTGACTAAAGCCATAAATCTCAGGACAATGGTGTTTTTAAGATCCCAAGAATTCTGAAGAGTGCCTGCTAAGAGATAGTCAAAGTAAATCCAGGGAACTACCTCTACTACATATGGAGGAGAAGGAATGCTTAGCCTTTCTCCTCCCAAAAGGAAACAGATAAAGCTTGGGAGAATTAGACCTCTGTTCTCTAATGTATAAGCCACAGACACTGGAACATGACTCTTACTGGTTAAACATTGAAGGCAAGATTAAAGCCTGAAAGCAAGATGTTGAAAGAGAGTTGCCAGCTCACAGGCACATGCCTGTCATAGGGTATGGACACTAAATCTTAACTGCACTCATGGCTAAGTAGTTTCCTTTTTCCCACCCTCCCACCTTCCTCCCACCTGTATTAGCTCCCTGTTGCTTGTGAAACTTTAGATGACCTATGCCAAGTAACTGAACACATCCACAAGTTCCAGGAATTAAGACCTGAATGTCTCTGGGAAGCCAATTACATTGTTAATTTGTTCCTTGCTCTTTGGGCTTCAGGAGCAGCCTTGGTTACCACTAAGTCCTCTAGTCCTCTCCTATTGGTTCAGTTCTGTAATTCTCTACATGTCCACTACATTTTCTTTTTGTATAAGATAGACAAAATCAACCTCTGGGACTTGCAGCCAAGAGCAGTCTTTTTTTTTTTTAAAGACTAACTAGGTTGCCCTGGCCAGTTCCTAACTCCTGGGCTCGAGTGATTCTCCTGAGCAAATGGAATTACAGACCTGTGCCACTGCATCCAGCTCCAAGAGCATCTTAACCGATACAATGAGAGTCTTTGGGCTGGCCTACTGGCTTATTTGTTTTGTAGGTTTGTAAAGAGCTTTAAATACCATGAATACACCAATAACTCCCAAGTTTATCCTAGACTCTTTGCTGACTTGAGTCCGATATACCTGCTATATATATATATAATTATCTAATCCCTGACTCCTTTTAGCTATCTACATGCATCTCAAACGTAATGTGTCAAAAACAAATTGCAGACACCACTACCAACCCTTCCCCTATACACATAAAACTCACTTCTCTCAAGATCATCTTCCCTTTTCAGGAAAAGGTAACTCCATCCTATCAGTTGTTCAGGCCCGAAATCAGAGAGTTATCAATGGTTATTCTCTCTTTCTCATATATCCTATATCTAATCCAACAGAACTTTCAAAATTTCAAAATTACAGTATCTGACACTTTTTACCACCTCTATGCAAACCCAAGCTAACCTTTGTTATTTCAAATTGAAAGTTAGCCTTCTAAAAAATGAGAAGAAAAAGACTGAAGTAATGCACAAAAAATATAATCAAAAGCATGAAAAATGATTAGCAAATAAAGTGAAAAGATGAGTTAGCCCGATGCAGAAGAAAACACAGGATTTAGAGTCAAGCAGACCTAGATTTGAAACCCAATTCTGCCATTAGTTGTGTTGCCCTTGAGTAAGTTGTTTAACATTTATACTCTTTGGTTCTGATAGCTATAAGTGGAGCTAATTATACCTGCCTCAGAAGGCAATTGTAAGAGAAGATATGCTTAAAGTAGATACTCAATTAATAATAGCTAGCTCCTGTTAAGAGTATTAATAGGCAATTCAATTAATTTTTTCAGTTGGGAATCATTACACTTACTGTTTCCCTTAAAAATGAAAATAAATAATTTAATTGTAAACCTAAAGCTCCCATTTTAAAGGTCATGAAATAATGTTAAAAAAATAGGAGGAGGGAGAGGAAATTAGGTTCCTCCACCACGTAACAAAGGTACTCTCCCCCACTGTATTTGGGAACCGACTTCACATAAAGAAGTTAAAAACAGGAGCAGAAGTTTCACTTGTATTTCGATTTGTGCAAAGCACTTTGAGTCACATGTTCCAGTTTTTAAATGGCACCTCTGCTGATGTAGAACAAATCAAATGCCATCAGAGGTGCCTACCAACCATATGGGCAGGAGGAATACAGATGCCCTCTATCTTCATTCAAAAGCTGTACTTCCGTAGAAGTGGAAAGCAATTTTATTTTTTCCAATATCTTTCATATTATTATGATTTTTCATATTTATTCTTTTGTTTTTAAATTTAAACTTTTTTATTAATGCATAATAGATGCACATAGTTTCAGGGTACATGTGATAATTTAATGCACTCACATAACTCATAAAGATCAAATCAGTATACTTGGGATATGAAAGCAACATATCTTTGAATGATGTATAAACTTGTTGAGAAAAGCATGCACATGCAGATTTATGTTATCTTGAACAGCAGGTACTTAAAAAATGTGGTGTGATGATGAGGTAGAAAATATGAAACTAAAGGGCCTTGCAAAAGTGTAAATATCTATAATCTACCTCATCTCATCTCTTTAAAAAAAAAAGGCATACTGCATTATTTTACTGAAATTAGAGATTTATCAGTAGCTTCACAGCTGTAAGCAGACCATTTGTTTGTTATTACACTAAGTTAAAGAACTACTAGCATCTTTACTTTATTAGTTCACCAGGAAATAAAGTCTTCAGTATGCATTTGCCAGTTTAAAAAAAATTATGAAATTAAGTCTCCTCATTCTGTGCCCTTTCATACCTCTTGACTAACTGTTTTCTCATGAATATAGCCAGATCACAGACCAACAAATGAATTAATACATACTTATTTGCTATCAAGTTAAAATGATCTGCTGACATTAATTAAAAGCTCATCCTGGTACCAATTCCCCCCAATATTTATCCCAACATCGCCTAGTCATAATGTGCTCAATGTTGGAAACTTCCAGAATATTTGTACAAGAATGCACCTTAGCTCTCTTTTTAAAGCCTAACAGTCTACTAAGACAATGAAAAACTGATCCTCTGTTTTACCCAAACTCAAGAGGCATCTGTATGATTAGAATCAATATAAGGGCAGATACCTAAGTAACTTTTAATCAAATAAAGAAAAACTGATAGCAGCTATCCCTTTTTCTAAGGTATTTTTACTAGAATTTTAAAATATGGATTATATATATGTATATATTTCCATTTTTTCTGCTTCTAAACATTTGTGAAATAAGCTTATGAATAGTTTAGATTCAAGCAGGGTTCACAGGAATGGAGATAATAGGCAGAGAAGGAATTCCACAGATACTTAGGTAAGGGACAAAGTGAGTTTATTTTGCAAAGTTACTTTCATAATTGCATTTGAAACATATTCAGCATACTATCTTACACATATACTTATTGAAAAAAGAAAAACAAGAGTTTTCCCCCTCACTGATTTTTACCTAAATAAAACCACCTGAAAGCATAAATGTTTAACTTTAAGCATAAGCTTACACCTTTCATGATTCTTTTGAAAATGTTCATCCTTGAAGTCTTTATATTTAAAATACTATCTTAAATTAGATTTAAAATACTGTCTTTAGTTTGCAAAGTGTCCAGTTATGAAATATATATCAAATGTTATTTTTAATCACTTAAAGCTCCAAGTGAAGAAAACCTGTCTGGCATTAGATAAATATCTTGAATGTGAGATAGGCAAGAACACCTTGAAATAATGCTTAACTAATCACAAAGTAACTATTCTGCAATAGATGGGTGAACCACTAATTAGATGAAGGGAAATAAAACTGTCATGGTAGAATAAAAGGATGAAGAGAAATAAGCAGTAATTACTGTTTTATCGTTAGAGAAAGCAATATCAAACATGGCTCAATAAAAAGAGAGAAAAAAATGTCACAGCTCTATAAGTAAATACCAGCACCCATTAAATTAGTACTTGGAGCTAAACACAACTCAGGGATGACAATGACATCTTAAAAAGTACATTCAAAAAAAGAACAAGTGGACTGCAAAGAATAGGTAAGGTGCTTTAGTGTTAGGGCATGCAACATACTGAAGAATAACATTGCATGGCTATTTGCTTGAACTGCTTAAAAGTATCCAAGCTGGTCTTAAAATAGCTGTTGATTAAAGATTAAAGTAGGATAACTAGACTCTGCTGTTTTATCAAATCACTGGTAACCTTAATTGGGACACTTACTGTGCAAACAGTGCCCACAAATGTCATCAATTGTATGTGAAGCTTTAATGTTTGGAGTAACTTACATTCTGTTGCTTGGAATGATCTTGTGCCCTTCTCTAAACCAAGTCACTTGAGGTCTGGGGCAGCTGGTGATGTGTAATAAGTTTAAAACTACTGCATGTCCTTGAGAAACCGTCTTCCTCTGGTCCATATCCATGAAATTTCCCATATCTGCAGAGAAAAATGAGCCCTTTTAAGTTCTAGGAAACTTTTTTGGGGTGAGGGGTCAGAAATGGAAATAAGTACATATTATAATAAATTCAAAGCTCTTATCTCATTCAAAAATGGTTTGGGTATTGATCTAGTCTTTATTTTTTCATTATGTTCTCAATTATTCAAGTACAGTCACCATCGTTGCCACTCTTAACAACAAGATAAGCAAGACTGCACGGCAGTGCCAGTGAATGCAGATCTGGTTGTGAGTGAAGCAGGAAGCAAAGTCAGGCACCTCCAAGGTTCATAAGTCACACATTAATCAGCAGAATCACATGGCTTTTGTCTTACTGCAACATTACAAGCATTTGCAACTGACTCTAATATTCAAATGAATTGTTGAAAATCATCCTAGTGCCACATAAAACAGTTTTCACAGAAACTGTAATAAAATGCTTCAAGATATCCCCCAGTTACTAATTCTTTCATGCTAGTTCTACCCCGGCACCAGCCCTTTCTCTGCTCAGTTTCTCCTTCCATTCATTTCTGAGGTGACTATCTTCTAACAAATCTTTTGGGAGAAATATTTCCTAAGCATCAAAGAGTTTATGTAGCGTTCTCCCACTTCCATACTGTTGACTTAATTTGGGTCAAGTAAGTTTTGTTCCAATCTTTGTTCTACTGGTGAAAAACATTTCAAAAATGGGTCACAAGAAAAAATATCTCCATTAGAATGTGGGTATAAATGGCTAAATTTTAAATTAGTAACATTTGAAATTTTTGAAAAAATTTCTGTATTATGGTCAGATATAGATAAATGCATATACAGTTATAGAAAAATACTGATTTTCAAATTTAAATGTATATAAGTTTGAAGTATTCTATAGATGAACTCTATTGTAAATGGCTTTTTGATTCAGAATAAATTTTCTATATTACAGTGTCTGATATTTTGAGGGAAAAGATTAAAGAGACCAATGAAACAGATCAGGAAAATATTCATGGTTATTTTAAAACAGAATGAAATTTGTTATCAAAGGGAAGGAGAAAAGAAAGATTTTTTTAAATCTAAGAGCTAAAGAATAGAAACAGGGATATAAATAATTAATCAAGAAAAAGCCCAAAACTCAATTTTATAAAATAGAATTTACTATATTATAATAAATTCAAAGCTCTTAACTTATTCAAAAATGGTTTGGGTATTGATCTGTAGTCTTTATTTTTTCATTATGTTCTCAATTATTCAATTGAATGAAAGTTCTGAATTATTCTGCAGACAGATTCAACTGAGTGACTTCATCATTACAGTTTAGAAAAATTTTTAAAAACAATCAAACATGTATACCATTAGCAACTCACTCAGTCATTAGGCTCATGGTAGAATAGTAGAATAACTAGATATAATTTTATTTTATATAGTAACACTGAAAGTCACAAGTTTAACTGAAGTTAAAATTTAAAAACTAGAAAATGTCATCATCATTGAACAGCACAGCCCAACTTAGGAGTTCTTTGGTGTTTCCAAAGTCTGTATGATAAATTAAAATGTAATTCAAATTTTGATAATTATTTTCCAGATTTTTAAACAAAGAAACATTTTTACAGTAAATTCGAAATATAATAAAGCAGATAGGCCACTTTGCATAGATCCTACCCTTCACAGAATATGGATTCGAAAAGGAACTAAATGTTTTGCACAGGTCAAATTCACTCTTCTGTTTCTCATAAAGATTACATTAAAATTTAAGCTCCCTGCATTTTGATATTTCCTTCAGTTACTTTAAAAGTTTCACTCTCCAAAATGGATGTGTTCACTAAAGAACTAATAAATCACTATAATATTAATACCATCTGGGACATTTAGTGTTCATATACTTTTTTGCAATGCAACAAAAAAATTTCTGCACAAATCATACTTAGAAAAAACGGATAATGAGTTGAAAAACTTGAACCTAAGTGGGTTTAAGTTTTTATTTTATAAACATTTTGATTCCAAATATAATACAAAGAAACAGCAGCGGATTCAAAAAACAGAGAGCATCTTATTCAGTTTTTAAACCTCCCAGTGCCTTATAGGGTCCTTAATCTTTTCAACTTTAAAAAAAAAAAAAAAGTGGCATTTGCCTCCTTAGCCCTCTTAGCAGACCAGCTACACTAGTTGCTTATCTCTCACTGATTTTAGCAAGTAGTCTATTCTAAATAGAAACAAACATAAAATCCCAATTCCTACAATGGTTAAAAGTGATTTTCACTCTTTCCCACTGACACTTTATCTCTGTTCTTTAACATTTGAAGATCTCCTTACTATACACATACATGCGACTTGAACTTCTGATTTTCTTTGCAAGAGAGCTCCCATTCTGTTTCGCACCACGCAGCGGTAAAACCCAGCATCAAGCTTCTGTAAAGATGGAATAATATACCTGTCAAATACCAAAAAAGAAGTGTTAATGCTTATATCTAGAGTTAATGGTTATATTCAACAATTAGATGTTATTAGATCTAACAGCAGTGGCATCTCATCTAGTAGGTGCTCAACAAATATTTTATTTTTGGTAACCTAATATCTATGCAATCTTTCCCTAACCAAGACAATAGCTACAATTACAATTTATTTCTGAGATAATTTCACTGATATCTGTCTCTCCAACTAGGCTATAAATATTATATGCTAGGATCCCCATCTGTTGTATTTGTCATTGTATCCCTATCTGGTATCTAGCACAGTGCCATGCACATAGTAGATATTACTCATGAGTGGTTGGATGAGTGAGAAATGTTAAATAATTAAAAGTAATCACATTTAAACTAGCCCCTTAAAAATATTAATACTTTTCTTTCTACAGAATCTCAGATTCTAGAAATTATTCCTGGACCTGACAATAGTCTGTGTTGTATCACTCTATATGAAAGTTCAAATGACACACTTTCAGGATAAGATATAGAGGTCATTAAGGCAAAGAAAGCAATGGCTTCAGGACACTCCTCTCTCTAGTCATCTGAGTGGGCATCTCCCAACATAATTTATACATTTGCTTTTATTACTTCTCCACATATGCCCTGGCATTAACTTTAATTTTTTTGAATGACCAAAAGTCATTTCATTTCTCTTTTCCATTCTTGTGATTATAAGTAACCATCCTTCAAATCCATGTCTATCTAAAATTTTATTATATTTTCAAAAGAAAAAAATAATTAAAAGACATAGTTTCCATAAAAACCTTGTTTCAGGTTTACTGCTAGTTTTGTAACTTAGGATGTTTTAAAATCCACAGGCAAGTAAACAACAATCTCTTGAAGTGAGGTAGATTAGGAGGTGTGCCCACACCTTCTGATCTATCTCAGATGGTGTATTAATCGTCTTCTAGGTCATGTTGACAAATAAAGAGAAAGGTTTAAGCAAACCATATATACCTAAGAAAGAATTAATATCCTAAATACAGAAGGAACTCCAACACCTCAGTAGCTAAAAAACAAATAACCTAAGATTTAAAAGGTAAAGAAGCTGAATAGCCATTTCTCCAAAGAAGACATAAAAATGGTAAGCTGATATATAAAAGGGTACTTAATATACCTAATCATCAGGGAAATGCAAGTCAAAATCACAATGATATATCATCTCACAACCGTTAGAATAGCTAGTATTTTAAATTTTTAAATAAATAAAATAATAAAAAATTTGCTGGTGGGATTCAACAGTAGATTTTAGCCTGCAGAAAAAGAATCAGTGAACTTGAAGATGGACTGATAGAGATTAGTCAATCTGAAGAGCAGAGAGAAAAAAGATGACTAGCTCCTTGCACTGATAAAGGGCTTTGGTAAAGTCTCAGGGTATAAAATAAATGTGCAAAAGACAATCGCATTTCTATACACCAATAATAAACAAACACAAATAAAAAGCACAATTCCCTTCACAATAGTCACATAAAAAAATGGAATACCTTGGCATCTTCCTAACCAGAGATGTGAAAGATCTTTACAATGAAAACTACAAAACACTGCTCAAAGAAATCAAAGATGACACAAACAAGTGGAATATTCCATGCTCATAGATTGGAAGAATCAACATTGTTAAGATATCCATTCTACCTAAGGCAATCTACAGATTTAATGCAATACCCATCAAATTATCAGCAACATTCTTCTCAGACCTAGAAACAACAACACAGGAATTTATAAGGAAACATAAACGACCACAAATAGCCAACACAATCCTCAGCAAAAAAACCAAAAACAAACAAACAAAAAAACCAGGGGGTATCACACTCCCAGACTTTAAACTTTATTATAAAGCTACAATAATCAAAACAGCCTGGTATTGGTACAAAAACAGGCATATAGACCAATGGAATAGAATTGTGATTCCAGAAGCAAAAAATTTCTCAACCAACTCATCTTTGACAAAGCCTCCACCACCAACCACTGGGGAGAGGAGAACCTATTCAGTAAATGGTGCTGGGAAAACTGGCGGTCACATGCAGAAGACTAAAACAGGACCTCTACCTATCCCCATACACAAAAATCAACTCTAAATGGATCAAAGACCTAAACATAAAACCTCAAACTATAAGAACCTTAGAAAATGCTGGAGACACTCTTACAGAGTGTCCGGATCCAATTCCTGATCAAAACCCCAAGTGCCCATGCCATAGGAGATAAGATAGACAAGTGAGACCTCATCAAACTGACAACTGTCTGCAAAGCCAAAGAAACCATCAAGAAAGCAGGGAGACAGCCCACAGACTGGGAAAAAATATTTGCCAACTGTATGTCTGACAAAGGCCTAACATCTAGGATCTACAAGGAACTCAAACGTGCTGAAAAGAAAAAAACCAACAGTCTCATTACAAAGTGGGCAAAATATATGAATAGACAGTTCTCAAAAGAAGACATACGAGCAGCCAACAGCTACATGAAAAAATGTTCAGACTCACTAGTCATCAAAGAAATGAAAATTAAAACTACACTGAGAGTCAGAATGGTCATCATCAATAATGCAAAAAATAACAGATGCTGGAGAGGATGTGGTGAAAAGGGAACACTTCTACACTGTTGGTGGAAGTGTAAACTAGTACAGCCTCTGTGGAAAAGAATGTTCAATTCCTAAAAGTTCTAAAAATTGACCTTCCATATGACCCCGCCATCCCCCTACCGGGAATATACCCAAAAGAACGCAAACCACTCTATGAAAAAGATACCTGCACACATATGTTTATTGCAGCATTGTTCATAATAGCAAGAACATAGAACCAATCATGCTGCCCATCAAAAGAGGACTGTATTAAAAAAATGTGGTACATATACACAATGGAATATTATGCAGTCATAAAGAAGAACAAAATCATGAACTTTGCAGCAACCTGGATGGACTTAGAGTCTATAATACTGAGTGATCTTTCACAGGACCTTGAACAACTATCGTAATACTGTAAGAAAAGGATTGACAGTAGCAGGAAACTGCGGGGGTTGAGGGGGCAGGGAGGTGAGATTGGCAACGTGGAAATCTGCCTGGAGAGGAGGGGGGCATATCTCATTAACAAGGGTAACTGCACAATGAATATTTGTGCAACTAACCCTGAATTGTACCCCACAATTTTAAAATTAAAAATTAAAAAAAAATTTTTAAACAGCAAATGTTGGTGTGAGGAAAAATGAACAATTATTCATGGGAATATAAATTGGTGCAGCCACTATAGAAAACAGTATGGAAGTTTCTTGAAAAAACACATATACAATTACCACATGACTCCGCAATCCCACTTCTGGATATATACACAAAGAATTGAAATCAGGATCTCAAAGAGATATCTGCATTCCCATGTTCATTTGTGCATTATTCACAATAGCCAAGAAATGGAAACAACCTAAAAGTCTGTTGACAAATGAATGGATAAAGAAAATGTGCCTGGGCAACTTGGCAAAACCTTATCTCTATAACAAATAAAAAAATGAACCGGGTGTGGTGATGTGCATTTGAAGTTCCAGCTACTTGGAAGGCTGAGGTGGAAGGATTGCCTGAGCCCACTTGGTCAAGGTTGTGGAGCATGCCACTGCAATCCAGCCTGGGCGGCAGAGTGAAACTCCAATTCAAAAAAAAAAAAAGCCCAGAAAATGTAGTAAATACATACAATGAAATATCATTCAGCCTTAAAAAAAAAGAAAGAAAATCTTGCCATTTGCAACAAGATGGATGAACCTGAAGGGCATTATACTAAGTTAATAAGCCAGAAACAGATGGTCAGAACTTACAAAATGAATCAAAAACAGTCAAGCTCATGGAAGTGGAGGGTGAAATGGTGGCTGCCTGGGGATGCAGCGGAGGGGAAACGGGGAAGAGTCAAAGAGCACAAAATTTTGATTATATAAGATGAGTAAGTTCCAGAGATTTACTACATAGTATAGTGCCTATAGTTAACAACACTGTATTGCATATTTAAAAATTTACTAAGAGGGTAGATCTTATGCTATATACTTTTATTTTTATCACATAATAATAATAATAAGAAGAAGAAGAAGAAGAAAGAAAGCCGGAAAAACTTTTAGAGGTGATAATGAGGTTTACATCATACATTATGATGACAGTGTCCCCGGTGTATATTTCTCTCAAAACTCATCAAATTGTATATATTAATATGTACAGCTTTCTGTATGTCAGTAATATCTCATTAAAAAATAAAAACAGAATATTTGCACATTACAAGTGAATAAGATAGATCATATTTGAATGAAAAAAAGAGTAAAACTTGACACTTGGATGGTTTTTATTTATGAAAAGGTGTCTAGTCTATCATTAGACAGAAAAAGAACTCAAACCATAGCCTATTTTCTGAAAAGGGGAAAAGAAAATGCAGAGATGTTATTCTTTCAAAAGATGTTCTAGTTACAGTTATCTAAGGTTTAAAAATATTTCCTCATACAAAGTATAATCAGAGAAACTTTAAAAATCAAGTAAAAGACAAGGTGTATGGTATGCTTTATTTGCTCAACCCTAAGCATACCTTGAATCACTTATATTCAACTAATTGCTCATCTTTTTAGTCAAGTATGTCCAATTAGGCTACCTGAAAGATAAACTGGTAGGCATAATTTTAAGTGAATAAAACATTCAGACAATACAGGTAATTCAACATTAAGTAAATATTAATCAAAGTATGTTTTCCCTTAGATAACTTTCTTAAGATTCTATGGCAGGATTAATAAAATCTTATGAAAAGGAAAAATATTGCTGAGCTTTAATCTTAAAATTTTATTCTATTATGAGGAATAGTTAATCTTAAACAAAATTAATTAGTGAATCCAATCAGCATAATATCCAACTGAAGACAGAGTCAAAGGCATTTATTTAAGTCATAAATCCAGACTAGAAGGATGGGCAGCTTTGACCATTACATACTCTAATTAGAATAGAGAGGAGTGCTGAGAT